GCTAAAAACTTTTACTGCTTTTTAGGAGAACTCTTAGTGGTAAGAAAAAATGTTTTGTGAATACGGGCCCTGATCTTTTTCTTAAAATTGTGAGAAATTCAAAAAAATAAAAAATCTGAATTGTGAGATAAAAAGTCTCAATTACCTTTTAAATTTTTTTATTCAGTTGCATAAACAGGCTCCCATATGCGTTTAAAAAGGTTCTTTAGGGAACCCAAAATGGTTCTTCTATAGCACTGCAGCAAAAAACCCTTTTAAAACGTTATTTTAAAGAATGTAGTATGTTTTTGGAGGGAAATTCTGCATTTTTACAGAATTCTGGTATTTGTGGTTAATAGTGTGTTTCTATGAGTTACCGTTCTCTTTGCACAGCACGAAGAGCAGGTCAGCAGCGCAATGTTTGAGCTCAGTCTCCAGGTGGGTCATCAGTCTGACCAGACGATTCCTCATAGTGTTTCCCTCCTCAGGTTTAGTGCTGACATCTCTTAATGGAGGCAGAATCTACACTCAACAAACAAATTGATCAAATTCGATAATATTTGATAAAAAAGCAAGAAGCATTTTTTTAGACAATAATGTAAAATAGCAGTCATGCCTGTTGTCTGAGGTAGTGCCTTGTGTCTCTGTGACCTCTGGAGCATTCGGTCAGCAAGTTCAGCACAGGGGTCAGTCTCTCTTTGACCTTTTCACCCTGCATGTGAAACACCATGGTGTTAGAAAAGCTGCTGTTGCAAACATATGTATTTTTTCTCATGAGGTTCACTATTTAACAAACTCTCAAAGTAAGGAACTTAAACTACTGAAAACACCAGTAATAATTCATACATACGTACTGCTTTAACACTCACATCTTTTCCTAAACAGGGATAATGTGATTCAGCCGATGGGACTGGATGAAGAGGGTCAGCTGGTGCCGCTGCCGGAGCTCAGGGACCTTTCAGTGGAGGAGAGGAAATCAGAGGAAGAACATGATGACCTGGAGAATGTGGAGTAGAATTGGCATAGATGTGGTGATCAAAACTGACTAGATAAAATAATATTTCAATATGAAATAGTTTTAACAGTTTATCACATAACACCACCTAGACATGCCCTTAAATATTACCTGAATATATCGAATTAATTGAGACACTTTATTTAATTAGTACACATCCGGTCAAAAGTTTGGATCAATAAGATTTTATTTTATTTTTTTAATTAATATTTGTATTTAGCAAGGATGCAAAGTGACAGTAAAGACATTTATGATGTTACACAGACATATTTATATATAAGAAAACGCTGTTCTTTTGAACTTTCTATTCATCAAAGAATCATGAAAATAAAAATGTATCACAGTTTCCACAAAGATATTAAGCAGCACTGTTCTCAACATTGATAAAAATCAGAAATATTTCTCAAGCAGCAAATCAGCATATCAGAATGATTTCTGAAGGATCATG